TGTAGCGATATGATATTTTATAATTACACAAACTATTAAAAGTTTTACGGAAACTTATTAGCCAATAAAATATCATACATATCTGATATTTATCTCAAACAACTATCTTCTGTATTGATAATTAATTATACAAAACATATGTCAATCATTTTTATAACTGCTAATCAGCAGTTAGTAACCAAAAAAATCTAAAAACTATGCTCCAATAACAGCAATATGAATTTGTTGATCAAAGAAAGTTCAAGACATCAATTGATATGGGGGTAAATATATATCAGATATGCAATTGAACATTGTTGGCCTTCGTTGTTGTGCAAAAACTTTTTTGCACATCACTGTTTGTTCACAGTTCAAACAACAGATATTGTCGATAAAAAAGAAGGCAAAAGTGCTTTTTGTCCAGTAGTATTATTAAAAATTGGCATCAACAGTTCAAAGTTTTTTTTTTCTTCAACTTATCAACAGTTTTCTTCAGATTAAATTATGTCTCTATACTGCTGTTGTTGGTTGCAGTAACAAAATTTTGTACCTGTCGACGACGACAAAAAAAAATAGAAGAAAAAAAAAACATTACTGTATAAAGATTACACAAAATTCAGAACTGCTTCCTTTCGCTAATCTTAGCAGTTTTTATAATAAACTTTTTTTTTTAAACTGCTAATTTAAGTGTGTTAAACCATTAAGAGCGGTTAGCTTTGAGCCATAAAGAAAAAGGATAAGTTGATCTTGGATAGACTTGGATAAATTTTTGTTCTTTTAACTTAAACGGAATAACGGGCAAACTCAGAAACCAATACTGCAAAAGCGCTTATCAACGAAAGTATAGCTCGAAAAAAAAAAAACAAGTAGTAATAAATCTAAAAAAAAAAAAGAAAAAAGCATTGCTAACAACAGAAGACTTTTAAAGTTCACTCATAATCTGCTAATAAATAGTTGATAAATCACTATGTAAACTTTTATAACTTTTTGTGATAGATTTTTTGTTCCAAAAATAACAACAGATCTTCCGTTTATCAACGATCACCAATCCTTCCTTAAC